AATAGGCGGTTAAAAAATGCCGTTAAATAGTATAAAATGTGGCATTTCATAAAACGCCATTAAAGAAACATCGTCAAAACCTATAATTCCTGTAGTGTATGAAGCACGGGTACTCTAAAAATAATGTCGTATGAGTATTGGGTACTTACTGGGTATGGGTACATGTTCCGGTATAGCGGTACGCATACCAGGTATGCTGAATACATGCCGAATACGGAAAATACATTTGGACACGTCGTGGGTACGGCATGGGTACGGCACCAGTACGGTGAAGTGATTTTTTTTTTTCCTTCAGCTGCTAGAATTTATTGCAGCCTTTATTATTCTTCTTTCAATTTTGAAAATATCAAGTAATTTATTTGTAACACCCTTTACATGAGTCATAGTTTTTCTCTCTTTTGCATCCTGTTTTAGATAATCAAAAAAGAAAAAAAAAATAGAATTATATAACTTTGTAGACTAGTTGTTCTTTTTTTAATTTTGATATTAAAATTTTGATTTGTATGTTGGATGTTTACTTATAAATTTAAAAAAAAAATTAAAAAAAAAGTTTGACGTACCCTAACTGTACTTGTACTTTACTTTTTTAATAATTTGCCATATCGACGCATCCGTATTATATCCATGCCCATATCTGTATCCGCATCCGTGCATAATAGATCTTCTCTTTCAAAAATATAGATTGAAGATCTTCAAATAAATTTTTCTTATATCAAACAATTATGAGCTTTAAATCATTTATAAATACACGTGACATGTAGATATTCATTTTCAAAAGAAGTATGGAGCGAAGTTAGACATTTTAAAAAATGGCTTCATTTTTTAAAAAAATTGTTTTACAAACTTTTTTTTTTTACTTTGACAAACTCTTTTTCAATACCTTTTTTTTAATTGTTTTAAATAAAAAATTCAATTGTTTTACAAATATTTTTTAAGGTAACAAACCCATAAGATCAAGAAAACAAAAGCCATTGAAATCAATTATTTTAAGGATATCACAACATAGTATTGTGAGGTTTGTGGGGGCTTATTTCAAGTCTATTTCGAAAATGTGAATCGTTTATACTGTAAAGTTCAATGAGCAGAATATTCATAAAAAAATAAAAAAAAAATCAGATTAGTCGGATATCTGTAATCCCATTAAAAACCATATTTATCTGTAAAAAAACTAAGCTGGCAAAATCATTTTGCCATATCGACGTATCCGTATTATATCCATACCCATATCTGTATCCGCAACCGTGCATAATAGATCTTCTCTTTCAGAAATATAGATTGAAGATCTTCAAATAAATTTTTCTTATATCAAACAATTATGAGCTTTAAATCATTTATATATACACGTGACATGTAGATATTCATTTTCAAAAGAAGTATGGAGCGAAGTTAGACATTTTAAAAAATGGCTTCGTTTTTTTAAAAAAATTGTTTTACAAACCTTTTTTTTGACTTTGACAAACTCTTTTTCAATACCTTTTTTTAATTGTTTTAAATAAAAAATTCAATTGTTTTACAGATACTTTTTAAGGTAACAAACCCATAAGATCAAGAAAACAAAAGCCATTGAAATCAATTATTTTAAGGATATCACAACATAGTATTGTGAGGTTTGTGGGGGCTTATTTCAAGTCTATTTCGAAAATGTGAATCGTTTATACTGTAAAGTTCAATGAGCAGAATATTCATAAAAAAATAAAAAAAAAATCAGATTAGTCGGATATCTGTAATCCCATTAAAAACCATATTTATCTGTAAAAAAACTAAGCTGGCAAAATCATTTTGGTGATCATTTTTTTTTCTTAAATAGTTAGAATTCTATCATGAATCCGATTAATTTGATTTTTGCATGAATGATATGGTCAACAAATCTTAAAATATAAATAATCCGCATTATAAAAATAAGTTCAAGACAAACTGTAACAAACACCTCCTTAATTAACTATTAATTATGTGGATTTACCTTAATTATGTGCTTATATGTGACTTATATGATTATATGTGTGTTAATTATGTACCATAAGCTATTTGAATTATGTTCTGATTGATAGATATGTTAGTATGTGAAATAGACCTGCCTGGATCGTTAAACCATAAAGTTAAATTAAATGCTTGGACTAAGTAATTAAAGTCTAAATTTTCCTTGGCACAACTAAGTTTATTAATTAGTTTCTATTGAGCCTTAAGTTGATTTAATGTAATTCAAGCTTAATATTAATTGGAGATAGATAATTGCTTATGATGATACTGCGGGTTCCAGATAAAATAGGGACTGATCCACGCTTCCCAAACCGGTGTCCGAGTGCCTAAGCCCACAGAGGAACATGCACAAGAGTTCAACGGGGAACGAGGAGTCCCCCAGCGAACCCTCCGACGAGCAAGTTAGAAAGAAAAGTGGAATGTAGAGATAGATTAGAGGTAGAAAGCTTAACCTTCTTCTTGTCTTCGACGTCTGCTTATATCCTTTGGTAATCATTTCGTTGTCCCTTCCGATCTGTCGCCATGGCCGAAAGTCTAAGCCCTAGCTTGCCTTGTTCATGGTGAGGTCGTTCTGTCTTGACGGGGAGGGCTTATCGCAATAAATGCTGTAAGGGGCTTCATTTATGGCTGATGTGCAGTGCAATAACTTTGCAGGATCTTTGTCTGCTTATGTGGATTGTCCTTCACCTGCCACGTGTCTGAGTGTCATTAGTTCTTAATGCCATGTTGACTTCCAACCATGTTGGACCTCATCAGTTGAATTTTGTATTGGACCCTAAGTGGTGGGCTTGGGTTGTTCATAGTGGGCTATAGCCTTTATGGGCCTACCCATGTCAGTAGTCCCCCATTCCCAAGTGCAGCTTTAGTCCAACGAAGGGAATAATAAAGAGAATGATGGTTGCTAGAAACCGGCGAGGCGAAGGGGCCGACCATGAGGAGGGCCGACCGTGAAGGGTGACCAAGTGGAGGGACCGACCATGAGGAGGGCCGACCGCAAAGGGTGACCAAGTGGAGAGACCGACCATGAGGAGGGCCAACCACGAAGGGTGACCAAGTGGAGGGACCGACCATGAGGAGGGCCGACTGCGAAGGGTGACTGAGTGGAGGGACCGACCAGAATGAGGGCCGACCACGAAGGGTGTCCGAGTGGAGGGATCGACCGTGAGGGGAGGGGCAAGTGGCGGTGCGCGGGGCTTGAGGAGTGGCAGGGCACGTGGTGATTTGAAATGGAAAAGATAGGGTAGGGGAAGGGGGCAGTGGATCGTGGGCGTACACGTGGCGGAATCCTATGATGGGGAAGGTTAGGCGTTGGGTAAGAAATGAAACGATAGGTTAATATAGGATATTGAAAAGACAGTTTTGGCGGATTTTTGAAAATTTTCAAATTGGCGAAATTTAATTGTGACCCTTGGAATATAGGCAAGCCTTGGGCTTTTGGTATTATACGTTTTACCTATCTCTTTGCAAAAAATCAAAATATCTCAGAAGTAAACTTGTTCGTTGCTAATGACACACCCCTATAGCACTTTGTGAACTATCTCACACCAGCATCTGAAGCTATTCGCAGACACACGAGAGAGATGGCCCAAGAGGAAGCAACAAACGCAAGAGTTGATCCATTGGGCGACGACGATGCGGTAGATTTGGCGGAGCAGTATCGTATGGAGCGTAGGGAAGGAGGGGTAGTCAGTGAGGTGATGCGGGCTCATCCAAGGACGATGATTGCAGCCGCGAAACCTATTAGCCAGGTGGAGCTGGACCACTGTCACACCAAGCCGGACAAATCTACGCTTACGGAGGAGAAGTTGGAGGGAATAAGGAGGAAGTACCAGATTCCCTCGGAGATAGGGTTAAGATTGCCCACGTCCAAGGAAAGGGCGTCGGATGTGCGGCCGGGGGAGTTTAGCTTGTACGAGGAGGCGTTACGAGGGGGTTTAAGGCTACCACTCCCCCAAGTGGTGGTGGATGTGTTGAAGAAGTTAGAGGCGGCGCCAGGGCAGCTGATGCCGAACGCCTGGCAGATAGTAATGGTCTGCGCGAGTGCCTGGCTGCAGGCGACCATGGGGCCAATGACTGTAGAGGAATTCTTCTACTATTATAAGGCCTCCGGTCAGCAGGAGACTTGGGTCACTCTGCAAGCGATGGCTGGGCGAAGGTTGGTGGCGGGTCTTCCATCTTCGGTGAAGGGATGGAGGCCGAGGTGGTTCTTTGTGACGGCGAACGGTAGGGCAGGAGTTCTCACAACGTGGAAGGTCCCCACCAAATTGGTCGAGCCCAAGTTGGACGGGGCGGCCAAAAACCGAGTGAAGAAGGTGAGGGAATAGAGGGAAGAGAAGGGTATGAGGTGGGACGAGCTGGTCCTGCCTTCAACATTGTTTGCCCTGAACTTGGGGCCGCAACCGTTGGGGGAGGATCCGACAATGGAGGAGTTAGAGAGGCAGCAAAAGGCGGAGGAGGAGAAGGAAAGGAGATTGTTCACCTGGGCGAACAAGTATAAGGAGACACAACTGGGACCCACTCCAAAGCCGATCGCGAGGGAGCAAATCCGACCGCGACCGAAGCCGGTAGGGGAAAAGGATCTGGGCGGCTTTGAGCCACGACCGCCCCTAGTGGATCCTCTAAAGGAGAGGAATAAGAAGGAGATGGAGGCATTGTTGAAGAAGAAGAAGAAGAAGAAGAAGAGAGTGAGGGAGAGTGAGGAGGAGCCCGCCTTGAAGAGGAGGAAGGAGGTGATGGTGGAGGAGGCCCCCAAAGTGGGGTTGGATGAGGCATCAGAAGAGATGGTGAGTGGGGCGGCTGGCCTTGAAGAACAAGTTGAAAATAGGGCGACTGGGTCTGAAGAGAGGGCAGAGCAGCAGCTAAAGGAAGGGGCTGCCCCCCAAGGAGAGGGAGAGGGGGTCAAATTGAAAACTGATATCTACTACACTCCAGCGATTTCTGGGCTACTGGAAGGAGAAGGAGGCCTAGCCAGGATTGCTGCTGACCGGCTCTTGGGCGTGGTGGAGGAGGCGGTAGTACGTTAGATGGCCAGTTTCACTGAGGCCGAACTGCTAAAGGGGTTGTGCTCTGCTCAGATGGAGGCAACTGCCTTAGCAGGAGCCCTTCTGAGAAAGGTTGCGGCTTCCAAAGGCAAAGTGGGGCCACTGAAGGTAAAGTTGGAGGAGGCGAAGGTCCAACTTGAAAGTTTGAGGAGAAAAACTGCCGGATGGAAGAAGACCGTGCGGAGTGTGTGCAGTAGGGGGCTGGAGGAGGCCCAGAAGGCCAAGAAGATGGAAGTGTTGGCAATGGTACAGGGCTATTCAGCCGATCAGGCCAATGCAGAGATGCTTGCGACCAAGTTAGAGCTGGAGGCGGAACGCCGCAAGGTGGTGTCGCTCGAGTTTCAGCTGGTTGGCGAGCAGAAGAAACTGGAAGAGGCTGTAGACACCCCATTTTTGACTGACCTTAAGACTCAGACGTCACTGATTGAGCGCTTGGTGATGTTGCATAATGTGCTCGTTCAGAAGTTTTAAAGTCACGGCCGCGAGCCCTGCCTCCGGACTTCCGAACCCTCTTTTGTGCCTTGCCTCGGTCTGCGAACCAGACTCGGTTTTCTCTGTTTCTTTTCCTGAGGGGAGGGAGAAGTCCCGTAGACCATCTCTCAGTGGCCGTGGGCTACATTTTGTGGCTATAGGCCATTTTGCCCATTTCGGGGCCCGGTTCCCGGTTTTCGGAGCCGTTAGGCCGTGTGCCTTGGTTCGGGACCGCTTAACCATCTCCATTTGCTCTGATTTTTGGCATACATCTTATTTTCTCCCTTTTGAGGGACACTGGGGTCTGAGAAACCCACTTCGTGGCCGAATGCCACTTTCGGTGCTTAACAGCCCATTTTCGGGACCCCGAACTGCGCGTTTTGGCCCCCGAACATTCGTTTTGTGACGGTTTTCGTTCATTTTTGGCAGGTACCTCTGTTTTATCACTAGGAAGGCCATAGAAGGGTGGGAGGCCAGTAATTGTTGCAGCAACCAGTTATATATCCTCCGACGCCCTCCGACGCCCGTTTTTTACACTTCCGGGCTAATGTTGAACACCTTGGGGCCACTTTCTTGAACTTTGAACCACATATCTGTGATGTACACACTTGGGAGGATCCTAAAAGTTCGTGGCCGGCCAGTAATGTTTCCTGACCCTTTTGAACCCCTCCTTCCGGGCTAATGGTGAACACCTTGGAGCCACTTTCCTGAACTTTGAACCACATACCTGTGATGTACACACATGGGAGGACCTTAAAAAGTGGTGGCCGGCCACTATTTCAACTTGACCGTTTTGACCCCTAGCCGGCCGGCTAGGTGGGGTAGCCGGCCGGCCACCTGGAGCTCCAAAAAGGGGCCGGCCATGTTCCTTGCAACATCAACTTTACAGCTGTATAGCTGACCATTGTACCACCCTCCAAACAAGGAAAACATGGTTTGTACCAAAAACAAACCAAAACGAATACAAGACGGAAGCTCGGGAGGCAAGGCACGCGGCTGGGAGCCTTGAAAACTAGCTACTGAGCACCAAAAGTGGCATACAACCACAAAAGTGGTCTCCCAGACCATAGGGTCCCTTGAGACAGAGGAAACAAGGTGTGGTCCAAAAACCGAGCCAAACAGAGAATATTAAGCGGTCTCGAGACAAGGCGCACGACCGAAGGCTCTAAAAACCGACAACTAGTCTCCAAAGGGGAAAAGTGGCCTTCGACCACGAAAAGTGGTCTACGACCATAGAGAGATGGTCTACAAGACCTCTTCCTCCCTCCGGGAAGAGAAAACAAGACTTGGTCCGTAG